GCGCACTCTGCATGGAGAAGAAACACTTCTATTTATACCCAGTGCATTAAATGCTCATTTAATGCAGTATGGTAGGGTTAGAGTGCGTGTCAAGCCTTAATAGGAAGGCTTGTCCTTTGTCACAGTAAATAGTACAAAAGTACTATTTATGAACAGACATCCTTACCTAAAGTTGGTGGACAAAGAGTCGACTAATCGGCTCCGTACCGTACTATCTTTGGTAAGGGTATGGGTTTGTCCTTTTGTGTATGCAAGGACAAAACAATAACAATCGTGCTAAGCAAGCTTCCTTTGATTGCTGAATGCTGGAATGACCTGAAGGTCTCATCATCATTCGCTGAAGCTAGAGCAGTCTTCACACATAGCTAGACAGGTTTGTAATCACTGAATACCGCTTCAGATCACGTACGCACCAGTCTTTAATCTTCAGTTTCAGTCTTCGACGTTTGCTGAAGGATCTTTGGTGTGAGTGTTGTTTTCTTGAAGTAGTTGTCTCTGAATGAATTACAATGCGAGTTCTTCAGCGATCACTGAACAAACTCAGTGTATTGATCGCTGGAACTGAAAGTACAGAAACATAAAATACATCGAAAGGAAAAAGGGATTATCATCAAATCATTGAGAGAGAGGATCAACAACCTTTTTAACCCTTTTTTAACCCTCACACGCCTCCTTCTTTTAACCAAAACTCTCATACGTCTCCCTTCTCAAGCGACCAGTTCATCAAGGGACCTTCGACCATTCAGTAGAAATCGAACCAGTTCCAACTACAGAAATCGAAATCAACTTCTCCATCCACCATAGAATCAACCTTCTTCCTCACGTAAGCCAGATTTCTTGCGGTGATTTTTTGGCCTCTGTGATACGTTATGGTGTGATTTTTTATGGATGCCAAATTGAGCCTGAAATACGTTATGTTGTGAGCCTAAAATACAAATATATGATTTATTAAGGATACTCAACGTTATGTAGCTATCTGTTGCTGTGATTCTTTTGCCCTCTATGATAATCAATGTCTTGCAAATCTATTTTATATTAGAGTTTATGAAATCAACAAGGAATTTTAGGATTTTTTTTAAAATCGAATCCTCGATCTAAGGCAACATACATATGTTTATAAATGCTTGATGAATCAAGATCGAAGGCAAATCAAAACTTCAAACCTGAATATGATGGTGGTTGTAACAGTATAAGGGGCTGTTTGGTTCGTTTTCTGTTAAAACCTGTATGGATAAAGTTGTCTATATTGATAAAGTTGTCTATATGTCAATAGATAAGCTGTGGTTTGGTTGTTTTGCTGAATAAACCATCTGAATGATAAAAATAACTATTTTACCCTTGGTTTTACATTGAACATTATAGATCAAATTTCTCAAAACAACAATATTTATAGATCAAATCATAAAACTGTAAACAAATCCAAATGAAACCCCAACTTAGAAAACATACCCAAATATGAATAACAAATGAGTAACAAGATAGAGAAAATAATAAAAATAGTAACAAATCAGTAACAAGATCCAGATCGAGAACGAGATCCAGTGATAGTGAGGCAGAGGGTACCTGCCGGAGAAGCAACGACCGGTGATGGTGAGGCAGAGATGAGAAAGATGCAAACACTGGAGACCGAAGAAGCAGGAGAACTGAGATCGATGGAGGAAGAAGCAACGACCGGCGATGATGAGGAAGAATCAGCAACTAACGATGGTTCTAGATGGTAAGGAAGAAGCAACAACATATTGATGGAGATGGAGCTTGGACCAGGAGAGCATACACGTTGAAGGAGAGAAATAAGATCGAGAGAAGCTGAGATTTTTGAGGGGTTCTAGAAATGTGAAAGGGCAAATTTGGAATAAGGGGATGAATAAATGGCTGAGTCCATAGGACTCTACTTTCTTGCCTGGCCGATTAAGCCACCGGCTGACTGGATAAGCCAGAAACAAACAACAATGTATGGCTGATCGAATAAGCTTTACAGACTTAACAGCCTATTAAACTATTACTGAACAACCCCTAAATCAATAATATAGAATAATGTCTTTTTTGGTCATTTTACATGTATAAGCAAAAATTTATCAAACACTAAAAAATAACTTATAAGCTTATCATGTTTTGCTACGAAACATTTTTTTTTTTTATAAAACTTAGTTTGGCACCAAATAAGTTATAAGTACTTCTATTAAAAATTTGTTTTAATAAGCAAAATGCCAAACACCCCCAAGATGAATCCGAAATCTATTGGGCACAAATTTGGGGTTTGTACGATGACCACTGATTTTTTAAGCAGATCATCAAACTTGTGGAGGGAGATATAGAAGAGAGAGAATGGCGTCCGTTTCCCTCTGGTGTAGTGCACGCCCAGCTCAACCTATCAAACTAGGGTTTCATCAAAATCCGAGTTGCTCAATTGGTTCTTCCTCACTCAATCATTACACTTGCAGGTTCGTTTACGATTTCTTCACACTCGTGGATGCTACCTTCTTTTTAACGTCGTTGTAAGTGCCTCAATTGCAATGCAGATGAATCTTCATATGTTTGTGGAATTTTCACCGTCAAAGTCTAGATAGGGTTTGAGATTAGAATTAGAGCTCGTCTGGTTTAATTTTTTTACTGATTCTGTCAATTCAGTTCAATGAATCTGTAATTAATGTTGGTATTGGTGAGAAATTTTTTCAAAGTTGAACTCTTTGGGCGATTTGCTGGATATATTTTGGATTAGCAAGTGGATCCTTTGTCATTCACATACAAAGCTAAGTTTTCAGTACTGTTCTGTTACATTTTGGGTCTTGATTGGAAGCCGACCTGCTTGTTTCACTGGTATACAGAGTACTCTCTCCATTCCCTGAATATAAGGTCCATATTTGCTTTCTTAGTATCAATCATGCTCAAAACATATTTGAATTCCATAGAAATTCAAAATTGCAAGGGATTTTGAGCATTGTAATTGGTTCATGTCAATTTGGTTCAATTGTATGCTTGCCAACATTCAATTCTGTGGTTATTGTCCAAGAATCCAATTCATGTTGGATGTTTTTTCTAGTTATCAGTTAACTTATAAGATTTCCTTTTGCTTCTAAAATATATTTGTACTATACTGGGAGTGGATAAATTAAATCCTTCAGAAAACTATATAAATGTATTAGTGCAGTGGAAAATATTTGTAGCTACTAGCTAAGATAAAGAAACTTTAAACATCAACTTTGAATTTGAAGTCGTTGCTGTGGGAGGGGGGGAGATGGAGTTGTCTCAGTTTCAAATCCAGCCCTGCCCATGCTGCCCTAGGACACCGTGATTTACCACCCCCGTGACTGGTACTGTGGGGGCACTTTGGAGGGTAGCACAAACCTTTTTCACGACGTGGATAGATTTGAATTACCATCACCGAAGGTTAGAGCTTTAATTGTGGGATGGAAGGAATGATCTCTGCATCTTGAATACATAAATTTGTGAGCATTTTTATGATGTTATTCAATTGGCATAACTTTAATAGATGGAAGTTCTATGTTGTGTGATGTGTGTTTGATCACTACTATGTTTGATGATTGCGTTAATTCATTGCAAGAAAAGATAATAAATAATCAGAATTGAGTAACCCATTCTTAGGGGGTGCATGGTTGGGGGTAGCACGGGGTGAGGAATGAGAATGAGAATGAATAAGGAAAAATGGTGCTTTGTTCAATGTAATGCATTGGGAGAATACTTTAAAAGTGGGTGATCATCCATACCCTAGACTAGTTAGTAAACATTTTCATTCTGTCATTCTCATTCCCTTTCCCTTGAAAGGTTGCAAATAGAATAAAATGCTTTGCAATCAGTGTATAATCATATCAATGACCTTTAGGTCAACCAGCACACCTCACTCCCATCAGATCTAGTGATCAACTTCCAACAAGTGGTAGGTCAGAATTGTCTGTTCTCCTCCTCTCCTAGGATGGATCTAAGTAAATGTCAGTTTTTTGTTAGCTGTTTGTCTAAAATATAAACTTTCCTTTCAGTTTCCAGTGTATGGTAGCAAAACCATCTTATTCTTGAACTGGAAATGCTATGTAATCACCTACATGGAGTTTGAAATATTAAAGAAGTTACCAATGAAGTCATCTGCTTACCTATCCTTAGTGATTCCGTTTATGACGAAAAGATCCCATATTGACATACTTTTTTCTTCATAATATTGTGAGCACAGCATATCTATTCACATGAGGTGGAATATTATTTTTCTCTGTAGGGTTCTGGTTCTTATGTATTGATGTCTCTTTTTTTGCATTTCTATCTCTATATTTTGAATTGTTGTTGGGAATGTGGTAATCAACTTATGAAAGCAGCACTTTTTTAGCATCAATTATTCATGTATAACCGTATAAAATCTTTTATATCGGATTTGGACCCAGGATTGTCCGAAAAAGTTGTCAATGGTGTCACTTGCTTGTTTCAATAATCAGAAATAAAAAGACAAAAAACATATATTGATGTCCTCCGTTAAGAACTTAGAGCCATAGTTTGACCTCCTTACGTGTGATTTTATGTTTCAATTTTCAACGGATTCTTCTTACTTGATCATCCAATACTTTTTTCATCCACTTGGCCAGGTTCAAGAATGCCGCCAAATTGCTGACGGGGAGAAGGTTGTCTTTGGTACATGCATCAAACAAGTCTTCAGAAGAACCCGTCGAAGCAATTTCAGGTGGCAGTACAAGCACTGCCCAAGGACCTCCTTTTCTTACTATTTTGGCTGGTATTGTCGTCTTTGCTCTCGTACTCTGGCTCTTTGGATCTCTCATTTCATGGCTTATTGGTCTCTTCGGCTTGATTTTCTCTAAATAAGTGGTTACGTTTTTGTTGTATTTGATTGAGACATGATTTCGGGTCCATTTTTCATTAGCAGATGTAATTAAACTCGCTTTGAATTTGATTTACTCTACTTTCTAACTTGACATGTTATGCAACAAAATCATTTGTTAACAAGAACCCTCTTGAATGGCTTTAACGCCATTTGGTGGATCACTTGGTGTCTTATTACGTTTCATGTTAAAAATGTCCGATCTACTTGCTTTTAGGAGGAGAGAGAAGACAGAAACATAGAGAGAATATAAAATGAATGGTGGGATATTCGTTAAAGAAAATAAAAGCTAAACATATTTTCCAGATAAGGGCAACATGAGAGCATATTTTGGATATAAGTGGTATATTAAGTATAGGAACTCAAATTTCTCCTTACAAAGGTATATAGCTATTCCATAAACAACAGACCTCTAAGGAATTTAAAGCCATTCTAACAGAAGACCCTGACTTGCATAAACACTATCTTTAAACACATGTAATTCACCCAACCTATCCCAGAAAAAAAGATGGTATTAACTATTACAAACATGTAAATTGTAGTTTTGAATAAGCAAAGGAAAGGGAATATTCACTCAATCCTTGTTGCGGGAGGATCGCTCTTTCTTTTGGCCACCACCAAGAATACGAGAGATCTGTAGCCCTCTGCTAAATGCTTGGTTGAACAACATTCGTGTTTGAAACTCTGACACAAATGGGAACCAAGCCAAAAATGCAACAGGGGTGAATAGAAGCAAACCCATTATTATTTCATAATATTGCGCTAGCGTTCTAACAAATGCCCACAATCCAGTTCGTCTCAAAAATGGCTTCAGAGCTTGTGCGATCTAACAATGTTAAAAAGCCACAAGGAAACAATTCAAAGCAATGTTAAAACTAACAGATTCTTTGTTTTAAGCCATAAGCAAACAAATTTTAAGCTCCTTGTATCTTTGTTTTGCAAGCCAGGGTCTTTACAGAAACAACCTCTCTACCCATTGGGATAGAGACAAGGTTTGCATACATCTTACCCTCAGACCCTACCTTGTGTGGATATACAGGTTGGTTTGGTTTATAAGAAGGAATATCTGATGCCATTTGTTTGTTATTCTTCTTTTACTCTTGGATGGGAGAAGAAGGTTTAAATGTAGATGAGATTGATCGCTTACCAGTAGCATTCCCCAACCGGTAGGCATTAGAGCTAGAACGCATACTATAATATCCTTGGGTGTCATTTGAGGTAGTGCAATTAAGGTGATGAGGATAGAAAGAAAAGTGACGAAGATTAATCCCTTGATCAACCGGAATGCAAGCTGATAGTCATTACTAAGAGACTTTCTACAATATGACATCACCTGAAAAGGAAGAAAATGAAGTTCATAATCCCATTTTGATTCAGTTTAATTATATACCTACTGAGATGAATAAATCTATACTTTGGAAGAATCAAAACCGTTTAGTGACAATTAGGCTTGTCTGTTAGTAGCTTAATGGGATAAACTGCTTATTCGGTCAGCTACACATAATTGTTTGGTAGTGGCTTAATGATATAGAAAGTAGCTTATTCGGCAAGTTTCTAGAGGAAAGCCAAGTTTTTTTTCCCAAACATGTCCCTCCCAATTAAAAAACAAGCTTCTTTCATCTAAACAAAAACCTTCCCAGTCTATATAGACAAATTTATCCACACAAACAGCTTTATCGATACGAGACTCGAGGGTTGTTTACAATGGTTTTAGACTATTTAGATTCGTCACTAGAAAAAATAGATACAAATGTAGAACAGTCAATTTGGGACAAACTGAGGATAAGTAAGAGTGTGACATTAGGAGAAATAAACTGGTATTCATTGATATACCAACCTTCATTACAAGAAGTCCTGCAAAGATCACAAGCCATGATATCGCATAAACCTGCAATTAAGAAGCAAACCATTAAAAATGGTTTAGGCAGGCCAAATCAATAATTCTAACAAAAGAATTACCAGAAAACTTTTGCTGTTTGTTATGTTCAGGTGATAAACAAGTCCAAACTGATAGATGAAGAAGCGAAGTGCCAACAAGATCTCCATAATAGTACCCCTTAGCCCAGCAGAAACAAGATGCTCTTGCTCCTTCTCCCACCACGATTCCCAACTTTTATCTGCAGAGACACCGATCCCTCCTCGGTTGCTTATCCATTTACTCCAGTCGTTCCAGTCATCGACAATTTTTTGCCACTCAAATCCAGACGGGTTAAAAAGGAAGGGAGCGAAAAGCCAGGTCCCCACCATAAACCACATTGATACCGTAATCAGTATATATGCAACTGAACTTCTGTAGGATTCACCGAATATTTCATATACAACAAGTAAGATGAGAAGTTCTATTCCCTTGACAAAGTGGCTGCGAGAGTAGAGCCTGTAATTCTCCGCAAACTTAGCATGAAACACAACGAATCCACGGCCTGTACCTCTGTATTGTGCACCCCCATGAAGCAATGTTCTTCCGTAGTAATGGGTCTTTGTTCCAAGCGAAAATGTGAAGAAGACGGAAGCTAGTTGTAGTTGCATTAGAACGAAATCAGTAAATGCTCTTCGGAACCCTCTTTCAAGCCCTATTTCCATCATCATTGGAAGTGCCATAAGAAAGCCGATTTGAACAAAAGATTGTGAAGCGAGAGCTACTTGAAGGGGTTTATTTTTCGCAACTTCTCTATTCGTACTTAATTCTCTTTCAAGTCCACTGAGTACGAGATAAAGGCGCCCGTAAAGAAACACATATACGATAAGCACAGTGAGCTGCCACGGAACAGAACTTGCTGGTATTAGTCAATTAGATGTGTAGACTTTGATTATTAGGGGCCGTTTACCGAGTAAGCGCTTACCAAGTCACATTACCTTACCGGATGAATATGGCAAAGACCAAAAATCTTACCTTGTAAGAGCAATGCAATGACCGAGAGTCTTACCCGGTAAGTGAAGGCGACGACTCTTACCAGGTAAATTGTTGCATACGATGCCGTTTTTGTTGACTAAAATTTCACCCGGTAAGTGATAGTGTTGAATAAGCATTTACCGGGTAAGTGTTTGATAAATGGATCGTTAGTAAATACAACATATTTCCTTGGCAGTCAATCGTGGCACTATAGCGGTGACTCATTTGTTTACTTTACTTGTTATGTGTTGGATATATAGGCATAGGTTCAAATAAAAACCTCAAATTCATTAAGAATCTAGGAAACCAACTATTCATGATGAATAACACTGGATAATGAAAATAATTCATGATGAATGTTGTTACAAATATTCATATGATAAAACCATCCCAACGAAAATATATTATATTATTGATAAAAACACCGTTGCATTATATAATAAATAGTGAAAATGCATGATATTCATGATCATATATACATACATATATATATATATACACACACACACACTAGAAGGGTACTCGCAGATACATCTCGACTTTAATGTTTCGTTTCTTTCTTCGATGTTATAATACAGTTTTATGTGGTTTTTAAGAAAAATATCATTAGAATTTGAAAAAAAATATATTGATATTTGTACCAAACTAACTATTTAAAATTTTTAATTTTTTTTGTGTAATTTTTTTTTAATTTAATTTTTCTTATTATAACTTGATTTAGGTTTAATAACGAAGTAATTTAATTTAGGTTTAATAATATAATTTTTTATAAAKATAATAATTAAGTATTYTGTTAGAACTCAATGATTATCCTAATTTTATTTTAGATWATTTATATTTAAAATGAGATATTTATCATGTATTAGATTATGTTTATCTRTAGTTAGKTACAYGAATTCAAACATGAAGYTTTAATAAGWTGTACKTATGCATAATTTACTTGTAATCTTGAATTTTAAGTATTATGCATCAATAAACAATACTTTATGAATAAAAAATGGTTTTTAAGAGTTTTTGTCAACTGTTTTATAATATAGTATATATATATATATATATATATATATATATATTATCTTTTTACTGCCATATCGAATCAAGTTTTCAGAAAATAACCACGTGGTTAGCATATATTACTTCTTACCAGTGTGTTGAAGTAGAATCCGACAGTAGTGAAATAGCATGAGAGCATGCGAAAGAAATCAAAACGGTGTCCAAGCCTATATACATCACGACTCATCGTCTGCTCCCCGTTTCCATTCGCTATTTTTGCCTCAAACAATGAGATCTGGTTCAGCCCCACATCTCTTCCCTTACCAACTTGTATGTATTCATGATGAGTCACATTTCCTCCACGTAACGTTGAATTGAAACCTGAAACAAATCCGGAAAATGTGAACAAGCTGGTAATACTGAGGTTGGATAAACATCCAATAAACTTATTACAACGCTTTTTACGCAGGACACATAATTGTATGGTCCTATAAAACAGTCTATTATGACATTTAGACATTTTTGGCTGAGTTTTGTTATAGTGTGGAAAAGGAAAAAAGGAAGTTGAACAGCAAAAATGGTGCCTGCAAATATGTCTTCGCTCAGGTTGACGATTTTTGAAGCCTTGCTGATACCCCCTCTCGTCAGGTGAAATAGCCTTTCGAACACATCAGGATGCCCATAGTGAAATCTGACCCTGAATGACCAGATATTACAGGAGCTAGATTGTCAGTTTCTGAGATTAAAGTGAGTCAAAAAGCAAAAGAAACGTTTTCTATACAACACAAAGAGCTTAATCCATAACGCTAACCGGTAAGATCTTGAGTTTGCTCATCAAAGGGGAACTCCCGCGATTATCAGAAAAGGAACTTAATCTATGTGAAAGCCGTTGTATCTTTTTTTTTAATGAAAAGTAGATATGATATTTGTGAGAATATGTGGAACCCTTTATCACTTTCCAAAAGAGCCTTTGAGGAGAAAGAGGAGGTTCCAACATACATCCAAGTCTAGCCGATGTGGGACTCTAACAAAATTTATATACGGCAAATGAACTAACGCATGGTTTCAATTCTTGACCTCCTAGACGGCTAGGGTCTACCAGTACCCTGGATACTGCTAGGCCAAAGGTCCTTCGGTTAAGCCACTGTATCTTGGTTGCTACATGTATTAATTATATTAAACCAAATATTCATTAAACCTTCTATGACATTTGACACAGATTGAAATTATATTAAAATCCATAGTATGCATCTACACAATATAAAGTCAAATCTTGAAACGGTATTAAATCTATTACCAGACAGTTTTTTAGGCATTCTTGTATACAGAAGTAACATTCTAGTACTGTGATTATCCGATTGAAACTTACTTTAATGGATTTGCCAACAATCTTTGTCCAATTGTTACAAAACTAGTCTCTTGGTTTGACATGAACCACGCAAGTGAAGAAACACTGAAAGCACAAATAATATAAAGAAAATGTCATTTAATCACACAATGAAGCAATGCATAGGATAGAACACATGAAATGCATATTCTCACCTGCCAGTGAATATATGCTCCCTAAGTCCAAGTATAGTTGGGGTTCTAACACCATGTTTGATTAGAAACTCTTGAAGCAAATTCCTCATTTTAAAGGCTTCTTCCATGTAGTTGTCCTGTTGATATATATATAATAACCATTTTTTTATTTCCAATAAACTTGTTTCCCTTCCTATTCCTCCAATCAATTTTCGACATGTGTAAAGATGACATGTCGAAATCTTATTGGAGAGAATCAACAATTTATGGCTAAGAGACTAGATTTACAAGAAACTGTAGGCAGAAAGAGTACCTGGTTCATGTCTATTGTCTGCAGGCCTTCTCCACGAGTAAAAATTATGGCATGATTTTGATTCTCTGGTTTTCCCTCACCCAATATGGCTGGTCCTGGAAGTTTTATGCGATATATAACCTGAACGAAGAGGGCATATTAATACTCTTTGTTTCAAATACTAGATTTTGAAATTCTTTCCTTTGTAATGATGCATAAACATAATATTTAATAAAACTAGCTGATGAAATCCTATAATTGTTCTTATGAAAAGAAGAAGATTGTCATCCACAATTTACAATCCTCAAGCCCATGTAGAATGTTGTCATGAAATATCCTGGTAGAAATTTGTATACCCTTCAAGTATCCCACTATATAGCTACCAAAGGAAGAAAAGGCTCTCTCATTTCCGGGCCGTCTCCGGTTGGTGATTTCTGTTTTTTCAGCAATGTGAGTACTGGAGGCTACAAATATCGGAGATCTGTTTGTTAACCATGGGTGTCTGGGCAAAATTGTGCACACATCGACTAATCCCATGGAGCCTCTGAGATAACAGCCACCATTGAGGATAAGGTAAAGGATGTTATCGAGGAATGGAAAAAAAGACCTGTTGAACTTGCTTCGTCTACATCCTTGAGTAAATGGGCCCCTTTTCATGGGTGAGGGGAGGGAGGTCCCATGACTGAAACTTGCCTGGTCCAACCAAAGCATCCCTAAACACGCCTTTTTCACCTAGGCTAGTCTTGGGCAAACGCTGCTGATCCAGGACAAAATCATTGGATGGAAGCATCGATCAACCACTGGATATTGATATGGTATGCTCCTTAATCCCTACACATTACCCAACCTGATTCTCAAAGAGCTCAGGATCTAATATCACGTTGATGCTTGAGACGAACATAAGTTAGTTTGGCTATAGGGTCATAGTCCTCACTGTACGAGAGCTCTTGAGGATTCAATTTGACTAAGTTGTTGAACAAAAATGCATCAAGAAAAAGGTGGTATGGTATTTATCCTTCTAAAACATTTGATGACATGCCAGTTTACAATATAATGAGCTCTAACAACTCCACTTAGATTATGACAAACCGACAGTGCATGTTACATCTAACCAATGTCTATTTCCAAATACTCCGTTCTGCTGTGGAATGGTGGATGACGACGACGATGGCTTTGGCTTTGGCTTGGCGGATGGTGGTTGTTCCTTATCGAACAACTAGGATTTTAAGCTTTCACTTTTTAGCAATTGATGTTATTATTCTGCTTGCCTTATAAATTTAGAATGACAAGCAAGGTTCATCCTTCTTACTCGTTGTGTTTGTTACAGTTACAATTAATACATCAAATTTATTTTAAATGTAAAAAGTCGAGAGTAACCTATTAATTTTGGAAAACAAACCCAGTAAGTCCCATACTGCGGGAAGTGGGAACACCCCTAGCTGGCTTGTGCAATGTGTGCAAAAAGAAAGGGTACCAATTGCTCAAAATTTTTGCAGAGAAACAACATAAGGAGAACTTGAAAAATATGAAAGCCAATGCTAAACATTGGATTTGAGTTGGAAGTAAGCAACAGCAATCAAACCAAACATGATTAGTCTAGAGAAACTAAGTGCAAAAAGGTAGCAAGTGTAAACCTATGAGTGCCTTACGAGATAGATATATGAAATGGATCAATTCAATCTCAACAAATATCAACACTTGTACCTGATCCAAGTTTTGAAATGGGTCGGATGCATCAGTAGACTTTGGTACAACTTTCACAAGAACTGAATAGTAAGATACTTCAACTTGCGTTTTTGATTTATCATCGCTCGTTTCTTCCACCTCATCAATATGGGCAACACGAAGAGAAGGATACCTATGGATGTTCATTAATTAATCAAAAAAATACAAGAAACATTTTACATATCAAAATGAAATAAAAATACCCAATTCCTACGTTCTCATAAGTCTTAAAATGTCCTGAGCAAAAGCATCACCCGCTCTCTTCTGGATGCCAAATTGTTGGCACGACACCACATATGTGAACTTCATATCTGCCACTGCTTGACATTGTGCAAGTAGTGATCTTTCATTCCTTAAATATTCTTCTGTGTTAGATTCAGCAGCCTTGTAACCTTTCATTAACTCTGCAAAAATTCCAAAGTTATATAGCATGGATTATATAGTCAAATACCATGAAGAAGCCATTGAAAATGATAGTAATGCTTTTGTGTACCATCATCCTTTGCCATGTCAAGGAAAGCCTGAAGTTCCAATGCTTGCCGATAGTACATCATGCCTCGTACTTGATTATGTTCAGAGTGGATTGGAATTACGATCAGAATATATAAATGAATAACAACAGGTTGATTTTAACCCTTCTCTTTTTATTAGTTCATGCTTATTGGATCTTGACTATTCATACAGTTTATAAAACAATTTAGTTATGTTAAGATGAAATTCAATTCAGATACCAGTCTTGGTAAGCGTTTGGCCTCTATATGATGCCCAAAGGCGAAGTTGTTCTATTGACTCTGGGCTTCCTTTCAGTTCATCTTCATTGCTATGTCCTACTCGCTCTAGAAAATTGTTCCATTCATCTGAAACATACTTACTACGTATCAAGAAACAACAATTTAATAACAAAGGAAACAACGAAGGAAACAAACTGACCTGGGTAAATTTTCTGCAAGTAGAAAAGGATGGAAACTCCATCTTCATTTGGCTTTTCCAAGGTATCCACAGAGAAAAGAACATCCTCGTTGTAGTAAGGAGTCAGGACCCTGAAAAACAAAAGTAGCATGGGATTGTAATTGAGCCAATATATTTCTCATAAGTCTTGCAAGGAACTTTATATATACACATATACACACAAAAATAGTGAACCTAAGAAAGTGAAACCCTAATTCACTATATCTAACACTCCTCAAGTTGTAGCGAATATGTTAATCATCCCAAACATGTTACAAATACAATCTAATTGTGCTTTCCGTAATGGCTCGGTGAAAATGGTTGGTACTTAATCTTGATGTGTACTAGTTGGATCGATGGAGGTTGCCTGAGTTCCCAAAAACACATGCTCTAATCATATGACAATCAACCTCAATGTGCTTGGTACTCTCATGGAATACTTGATGAATAGATTCTTCGCTATATAAATAGAGTAATTATCACAATACAATCTCATAAAGTTTTCTGTAATTACTCCAAGCTCTTGTAGAAATCTCCTTACCCATGTCATTTCACATGACACATCTGCCATGGCTCTATACGCTGAATCAACACTCTAAATTAGATTTCCGCAGACGAATTTACAATACCTATAGTTTATGTCCTCGAAACGGGACAGCCAACCCAGTTTGCATCTAAAAACCAGATATTCTGCTATCTCTTTCTTTAGTGAATGCACCCACTTGACAGTGGTCCTGCTCTGGATAAAGTATTTCAAATCCTTATGTGGCCTTGAGATACCTCAAAATGCGAAGTGATGCATAGTAACCATGAACTGGCTTAAGACAATAACCGAGAATGATACTTCTGGTCAACTGTCAAATAGTTTGACTTTCCAATCAGTCTCTTGTACCTCTTGATAACACGTGCTGCAAGTTTATTATAACCTAAGGGATGATCATAAAGACATAAACTTGAGATACACATCCAAATATTTTAGGAGTCAGGGAAAAATGAGTGTCTTCCGGAAATAAAATGGAAAGATGTGTTTCCCCTTGAGCACAGAAGATGGCATACGATTATCATATAATTAGTTTTAAGAAAATAAGAGAACCATATGGCTCTAACACCATGAAAAATCAGTATCCTTGAAAACTGTATCTTATTCTAGTATAAAACAATGCACATTTACATTAATGGGCCACGGGCCGAGGCTAAAGAAACCCTACAGTAAACTTATAAGATATAATAACATAATCAACCTTATGTAATTGGTAATAATCATAAAAGAAGATACTAGAACACTCCATACTAAAAGGAACCTATAGACTTCTCTTATAAAGTAAGGCTGACCTTACCAAGTTTGGGTGGTGGTTAATGCACACAAGATTTGTAAGCCAGTTTTGCTCATGTTGTATATGTACTCTATGTTTGTTATATTGTTTTTGACCTAGTTAATTAAGATATTAATCTAGCTATTGCACCAATTAGAGGAGCAGCAAACTTACGAGAAAGATATCATATTTCGAACTTTGGGTGCCACGGGCATGTCCATAAACAATGAATTTGAGAAGAAAGATATGCGCCTCCTGGCTTCCAAATTTGATGGTACATCCATAGCAGATTCTTTTTCAGTAAGCAAGAGATGAAGCCTTCTAATCTGGAGAAAGTGACAAGAATGGTTCACAGTGTGCTAAAAGGACAAACTCACTGAAGAAAGAGCTGAATGATCAAGTTCTGATATTGTGGATAGGTTTGGAAGTAAGCAAAGACACTTGACATATCATGAAAGATCCTTTAAAGAATATAAACAGAGGAGTAAATTGAAGTATATGCTACAACTTTCTTATGCTAGAATTTTGCCTTACAAAACCACAGTATCTACTCTGTTCAGAAAATCGGCTAGGAATTAGATTTTTAAAAATGGTAATGTGGAAGTAAAGAACGATAAGATGAAGGTGTGTTGAAGCTTCTCATAAGATCAGAGCTTACTTTCTCTCTCCAAGCTTCTGTTTCTTCTGTAACAGGAAAATTAAGGGCCGCAAAGGACTTCTGATAATGTTTATCTTGTTGTATAATACCCTCATAAGATCCACCGTCACTTGGCTCCAGCAAGCTATATGATAAAAGAAAGAGAAAAAGAAAAAGGAAGTCATTTACGTAGTAATGTTAAATCATTCAGAGAGTTCAAATCATTTTACCTTGTAATTGGGTCATCTATTAAGTCTCGGGTCACCACCTCCAGCATGTTAAGTAGCACAATTACAACATCATCCTTGTCACTTGCTTCATTTTTTATCTGAAGTTAAAGATTTCAATTAGATTCAATCAAATATTAAGAGAAAATAAGGAAAAAATAAAAGGGGTTAAGTTGTATATGACCAAGAACTCTATAAGCTGGATGAAGTGATCAGTAAGGCTAGGCAGGGCATTCATATTCAACACACTTATGAGATCTCCCTCCAGTATATGATGGTCAACTTTGTTGAAAATCTCTGTCATAACACTGCAAATACACAAATCCTTACACCAGTTAACAAGTACATCGTATGTAATAATGAAATGACTCAAATGATGATTGATTGACGTACTCCTTTTCACGATTCCCTAGAACAAGATAATTTAAAATATTTTTGCATGAAGCATAACATTCCTGAACGGCACAGAGCATATAACTGTCTGCATTCAGCCTTTTTTGCAGTTCTCTTTCACGGTCCTTGCCGTTACTGTCTTTTGCCATGTCCAAGGCTATTGGAAGCTGCAAAATGATTGCTGAGGAGTCAATATATATACATATATATATATATGTCCTCTATGTTCGTGAAAGAAGTCATTCGAGAAGTTGTGTGAACCTTGCTAGCAAGTAAAAATGGAGGCCACTGAATAAGATCCAAGTCAAGATTAGCCCAGTATGGCATGAGTAAAAGGTCCATTTCTCTGATAACATAAAAAATGAGTAGGCGATAAAGTAGCTGGAAGACATGGAAATAAGGGTATCATTTCAAAAATTGCATGTTCAAATAAGTACCAAGTAACAAAAGTTTTTTTGCAGAAATACATGCATGGAAACATCTTCAAAGTACCTATTGCTTATCAAATCTTCCTCCCTGAAACTTGTAATGATTTTATTCCACATCTGAGCAAACCTTGCTGCCTCCTTCTCTTTATTGGTTGGGACCTGAAATAAACTCCTCAATTCAATGAATTTCGCTATCAACTATCTGAAAACAAGCCAAAAGGCCATACAATGTGAAATACCGAGAATAAAGCAAAAAAATTAAACCTTAGCAGATCTACGGGATAGAGTGGCCTTGAGTCCCTTCTTACTCCTGTCACTATTTTCTGCTGGAATTAAGCAGTCATTAAAAGCACTCGGCAATGACTGAAAGCGGCTTCTTAACATCCCTAAAGTTCGAATCTAAAGAAGAAAAAATTAGATATGAAATAAACAAAAAATATAAGCAAATGTACCTCAAATAGAGATTCTGTAACAGGAAGCAGAAAAGAGTACAACTGTTGGATGAAGCTCACACCATTTTTATCTCTTTACACTTCTTGCATGTAAACTTACGGCTATAAATCGAATGCTGGAATGCATGAAGCTACACGTTCTGACATTCCCAAATATTTTTACAAGCTACTAAGCCCATCATGATTCTATGTTAGCAGCAACATTGATATTTCACAATTGAAAGCTTACAAGTAAATATGGATTAGGTTGTTTATGTGAAATTTACAAATGAACAAAATTTCAACTTTATTTTGTCTTTGTGCGTTTCTTACTTCTTAACCTGTCAATTTATTTATTTCTTTTAGCTTTGTATTTTATGGTTCTCAACGACCACAATATTCAGCAAATAAAGATTTGGACAAAAAAATGAAAATATCTTATCAATCCCAGGTTTTTGTTAGGGAACTAGGTATAGAATAGTCCTTAAAACACAACTGTAGGAGGTTTGAGGGCACCTAAAAACATCTCTAATAATATTTATTACCTTTTGACAAGAGTTAAGCCTTAGTTATAGTCTCACTGTGTACGGATCGGCAATTATATTATTTTACTAGGATTTGCCATGACAAAGTTTATCAGGATTCAATATGACTACATGGATAAATTTGTTGCATATAGACTCCAAAAGGATCATCATGAATCATGCTAATAGACAGGTTGGTTTGTTGTAACAGTTTTGCATGCCTGAAAGAGCTGCTTCATTCCTGAATCCTGTTTCTCTTCAGATGTAACCTACTGTAAGCCTATTAATCCACACATGCATATTGGTAAACATATGGCTTGACATAATCCGATGGTGGATCATTTAAAACTCAATACTGATGATCCTTGTGAAAATTGTTTTGTGCTTAGCTGCTTAGGGTTTCCATACCAACGGTGGACATTCTTAACAACAAGGATTCAAGCACTACAGGCCTTGTCTATATTTTTATAGAGATAAGGGAGTACAGGAGTGGATAAAGTGACAGACAGATTAGGAGACTGGCCTATTTTTCATAAAGAGGACCAGGTAATTCATCAAGATCGGCTTCCTAGGGATCTTCTACAAGCTTGCATCAAGGTGATCAATGGTATTCCTGTTTTCAAAAAAATAAAAGGGTTAAATTTATGCTTCCTATGTATTTCTTTCGGCATTTTGTATCTTTTCACTTCTTTTTCGGGAGTTAGAAGATGTTCCTTTTCACTTGTACCAGGAGTTAGTTTACCCAGATTTTTTCTATCCTTATTTCTTTTCATGTTCTAATAAAGTTACGCTAAAGAGCCATTTGGCACCTAGTGATCCACATCAACGATTTAGGTGTGTGTTAGTTTGGAACAGAACTATAATCAGGCCCCAATATACCTTTTCTCCTATGTAAAACATACATTTGGGTATTAACGATTACAAATATAGTCCCTCACTATTCTCTTGTATCATTGAGCCTAGAGCAAAACACCAGAGTGGACAGGTTCTAGGTTATACTTCATGATTTAAAAGAACCAATTCCATTTCTATACATGGAAGAAGAGAACATAGAGGTAACTAATGCAAAATGGGGCACTAACCTCTCCAAGACGCCGAAATGCACCGTAAATACCACCAAATATAGTGGAAAATATGGCATACCAAATTTGAGTATCCATGAAATAAACCTGTAAAAGATTTAAAAGATCAAAAAATAACCAAGTTTGGAGGCAAGGGGAGTGATGTTAGTAGGATAGGACTAAAATTAAGATAAACATACAAGAATGATAGGAGCCCAGAGTGTAATCACAATGCCAATATTGCTTTTAGCTGAAAACAGAATAGGAGAATTTGTAATATCTTCACTTCTTACAATATGCTTCCATTGTAACTATGTGCTTAGGGTCATCAAATTTGATTACCTTGAGGAAAGAACTCATGCCATTCATAACGTCTTATGTGTAGCCGAATAATTGCTTTCGTTGGGCCCACTAGAGGCTTTATCTGCAATATGTATGCTAAGCACTGAAGCAATGATGTGTGCTGAGAAATGTGAACTGCATACACTACTTCACAACCCAATGTATTTCCAGTTCATATTGAAATACCGTATGCTTTTAGTTTCAAACATTGAATTTATTTAATTACTTTATTTTATGCTCCTTTTAATGTTAAGAAACACAGTCAGCCATGGTATGCTTGGCAGATAGTCCCATTCCGACTTACAAAAGAAGCAAATGCTAGACAGCCATTATCCACCCAGATGGTTATTCTCCTTGGAAAATCAAGATAAGTATAGATTCTATTCCTCAAGTAAAAGAGACGGAATAAGAAAGGCACCTCTAAGTAGTAACTGAAAGCTAACTTTGCCATTATGAGGAGAACCCAGAATATAGTGTACCTAAAGAGGGCAATTGTAAAACATAAAGCAGGGTACAACTAAATCAAGCAATGTGCTCACACATCCATAAAACGGAAGTCATACTTGACAAGGGAGACAGGGTCTTCATGCATTCCCCTTCCGACATAGAGTGAAAGCTGCAAAAGTTAGTGACATATAGAGGTTAACTGTATACGATTCTATATTGGAAAGGCTAAACTTACGGGCCTATGATGTGTCAGTTTAAGAATAGCAAGGAACTAAAGTAACAAATAAAAGACGATGTAAGTTGTAGAAAGGTTTCCTGTACCTGTGACCACCACATCATGAACCTCACAATTTTGTAGTCTGATTTCTCAAGATTCCGACGTATAAATGGTAGGAGGAATAATAGCGCAGAAAGGATGTTTGGAGACAAGTAGATAACAACAGCTAAAATATACAGAGAAGGTGAACTTGGTCCATTGCCAAACCAGTTCTTAATGGTCTCTCCAACCCCAGAGAGATTGTTCCAACTATAAGAATATGTTATCGGTAAAACCACCACCCAAGCTGCTGCAGAAAGAGCTTTCAGAATATATCGAAGTTTGACATAATATGACATGCTGAACCTTGCTTTCCACATCATAACTACATCAATAACAGCTGCAAAAATGTAGAGGCAAGAATCAGATTAGATCTCCAACTAACAAGTATATATACATGCTTGCATATATGCATACATACATACATCTACATATACACAAACACACGTACATGCATAGATATATACATATGCATACATATGTGTATATATATATATATACACACCCTGAGACATAAAAGCTGAGATGCAATCGTAGAGTCATATGCTTGATACCCTTAGAAGAAGTGATTTTTGAAACATGAAACTAGAACAAAGTCGAAATTCAACAGTTAATGCTAAATGGACTGTAAAACTAGCAACCCATTAATACATATCAACGATGGAAATAATCAAGAGATATTTATCTATAGGCCAGCAAACAAAGGCGAACATGGAGAGGGAAGCATAAAGAGGAGGCAGCAAAGTTTGTATAGATTACTTGCTAAACTCTTGAGGTTTTATGACTCTTAAGGAAGTTCTTTGTGTATTTTTTATACTTTTGGTTCACAGAGTGCACTACTTAGACAGTTGTTAATGTGCACCCATGCATCTCAGATATCATCTTTAAATGACATTATTTGAGAAGTTGAATCAGGACCAACAATTTTCTATAGTTCAATTGATTTTACTCTTCTCAAGCCCCTTGGGTAGAAAACTAAGGTATATGCTCCTTTAAACACAAAAACATAGTACTCAGTTGGTTTGAACATGCATCGAGTATTAAGTATTTGACATTGTTGAGGATGAAGATGTTATAGAATACTTTCAAGGGATGAAGTCTTCAAGAAGTCAAATTCTTGCTTATTTGAGTTTATATTATTTTGCAAAGATGTTTACGTTTATGGCATCTTGATGTTAAATCTCAATTTTATCTTTTACCATTTCATTGCCAATATTCTTAGATGATGGCTATCTGACTCTTAAAAAATCTGGTGTCTACCATGTTTGGAAATAATCGGGGAGCTTGGGTCAATTTATATAATATTTGAATAGAGTAGATGATTCAAATATATAAGATCTTGTGTAAAAATATTTTTCCACACTCCTGACATCATAAATTCAAGAATAAATTTATAGAAAGCAAGATACGAAAAATGTTGATAAAGGAAACAAATGAAGGTGCAATGTGCTGAATGACACTTTGTGGAAATTATAGATCCTAGGAGGCAATTCTGATTGGTCAATATATTTGGGTTTGCTCGAGATTTTTCACTTGCTCAACAGAGAGAAAGATAATCATTTTTCTACCATTCAAATTACTTAGATAAACTAGGATTGTAATTCAGATAAAGTCAAGATGGATACTGATAAAAGAAGTCAAAAGTATAAACTATTTTGGCTATAATGGAGTTTGTCCTTGGTTACCTTGTGCAAGTTTCAATATTGCTGCTGTTATGAAAATGCTCAACACTTTCTTGAACACGATTCCATTGAAGATAGAACTTAGTTCACCCGATCCATTCCATGCTATGATGATCATTGCCTTGTGTTTGTGGTTAATAAGCATGAAAGAATCTAGTTAATAACCACAGATTGAGGCATGCAGTATGCTGGCAGAGAAAAAAGATGATTACCTGCAAACATAAAATGAAAAAGCTCCACATCCTATCAAAGCTCCTAAAGATATGCCAATATGAATCTACCTCAACAAAATTGATTTTTCCTATCCGATCACTTGTAGCAGGTTTTTTTTCCTGAAATAAATAATAAACATCATAAAGCAGCTTTATCAAATTATGTCAGTGTGAAATGTTTGTTTTTCCTTATTTCCTGTATAAGGAAATACAAACTTGTGGGACAGAGAACCAGTTGAGTTGATTCATTCACCTAGTTTTGTAGGTCACAGTCCCACCTGTATCAGCTTGTTCATTTTGATTTTTTTCATCTACACCTTCTATCTACAGTAATAACCTCATTTAAAAGCACTAAACAACTTCCACTTGTAAGAAAACCATAACAAACTTGCATGAAAACCATGCTACATGGCTTATAATCTTAAACAAACAATATGCGTGAATTCATGACAAACAACTTACGTAAAAGAAAAAGCCATACAAAGTGACTTGGGATCTGATTGACCATCCCGCTGGAAATGGTACTGCTATATACAAAAGGGTGTATACCATCAAAGTAAATCCAGATAGATTTCTTGCTCAATTAAAGGTTTTGTTGGTAGCAGAAGGCTACTCTGAGACTTTGAGCAAGGACTACAATAAGACATTTGGTACTATGACAAAGATATTTGTTCGCCTTATCGTTGTTGAAGCATCCACTCACAACTAGCCCTACATCAACATGATATTAATAAGGCTTTCACAAAGCATTTTTTGAGGTATACATGGATCAGCCTCAAAGATTTGTTATTTCTTCTAAGATCTGAGAGCCGAAGAGGCGCGTCTAGATTAGTCCAGGTCACAGGTGGTTGCTAGGAGAAAGAAGCCTATTGTTGCTGGTGGAAATTGCAAGGCTCGGGCTGCCATGACAACGAGTGTGGTGGTGTGTCTGCTGGCTGTCGGCGGCGGCTGTGGTTGCCTCATTCTAACTGGATAGTATATCAAGTCAGATTACTGATGGAGGTCAAAAGAATGATTGTAAAAAGGCTATGATGTCCCTCGACCATCGTGATCGGAGGTGATCAGGTTTTGTTACTAAAGCCTCAGCACTTGTACCATCTAATTATTATGAACAAAAAGCTTGATTCTGTTGGATAAGTGATCATATATATGTATAGACAAACCAAAGACAAATAAGAAAGATTATAGCCAATATAACTAAGATTAGGAACCCTGTCTTAATATATCTTCTAACCTCCTGGTTTGCCAAAAATAAGGAAACATTTCAAAGTTAAAGATTTCTTGGACGGACTCCCATCTAGCATGCAGGTGCAGTACCAGTTCGTTTCAAGTTAAGGGTTTCAATTGAAGGTGGAAAACTTCAAATTCCAGCTCCGAAAATATTGTAAGATTGACGTCCTTGTATCATATGCAACCTTATCGACGTTGTGGAGAAACATAGAATATGAGCCCATCCCCTGATAAGTTTATAATTCACTAACAAAGTTGATAGCTCCTGTTATCTTTGGAGTGATCTATTAAGCTTAGCCTCAGAAATGGACAACACTGAAGAAATGAGAAGTCATCAGGTACTGTTAGCCAATATTATTTCTGTTAGAGGTCTTTGGTTACATTTCTACAAATGAGAAAATAAGTTGAGGCTTTTTAATCCTCTACATAAACTTGGAACAGTTAGACCTAACCATATCCAAAATCATGCTGCCAACACAGTATCTGTCTGAGTTCTGCAGCTATCCGATAAACTATTCTAGAGTTCAATAAATTTTAGGACTTGTATTTTGGGCCCCTGCTATTGCACTAATGCATGGTTTTTATTTGACTTCTAATCACACTGCAATTTTTAGAACAAACAAGAGTTTCAACTCATTTTTTCTATCTAAAAAAAGCAGTTGATATGTCTAGTCATCAACTAGAAATGCACATGGGCCTCAGACTAGCACACATAACCTTTAGATGCCTTTGGTACTATTATTATACTGAGCTGTATATAATATATGTGCAACCTTCTGGAAACTCTGATAGAATCTAGTTTTTTGTTACTGATGAAGTAAGTACAAAATGTGGTACCAAAAGTATATCAATACTTACATCATCATGAGACTGACAAAAGAAATCAGCCTTTTCACGCATTGGCCATCCCAGATGAAAACACTCATCTGACCTACAAGATTGTACCGGTCAACATATTTAATTGAATATACTATCAGATGATATAAGAACAGAGAACATGATACCAGAAGTATTCATTTAGGTCATCATAGTTTCTCCATTGAGAATGTTTTGTCTTTCCCCCTTTGCTTTTTTTAGCTTCCTGTACATAATGAAAATATAGGCATATGGACTGTAACTCAAAAATGAAAGCTGCAAGCACTGTCCAGTTTTACAGCACACCTGCGCTATTGTATTGTAGACAGGAGTCACCACTTTCCTCAAGAATGCCTCTTTTTCACCCCCATATGCAGGTTTAATATCCTCACCAGTCACAGGACTAACACTACCAGCCAGAATACCATATACTTCAAACGCCATCTAGAGGATCAAGGAAACACACACATGAACATAAAAATGAAATGATCAAACATGTAAAGAACTGCAAAAGTTTCTGCTAAGAAAAGATAGTAAAAAAAGAATTTATTAACGAGTCAAGTTCTTTGCAACTAAAAATTACAGAAATCGATGTTATCAAAGGCCATGGAACCAGGGAGATTGATATTGATAAAAGAGATTGACAAATAGTATACCCATAAGTGATAAGTGAGATTCTTCATAGAATGAAAATGCTACAGGAAAGAGTTCCCTCATCAAGATATATGTGCAAGAATGAGAAGGGGAGAATAAATAATCCTGAAGCTATAGGATAGAAGTGAGTGAAAAGTAACACAAGATCTTATATATTTATCTCGCTTGCATAAGTATCTATGCATGCTACTTCACTAATGTTGTAGGCTAAAGGTGAGAAGATAACAACAAAGAATCATGACTTTCTACATGGTAAAATTGGGAATGAACGAAAACAAAAAAATAATGGAAGGCGCGTAAGGAACATAGAATAATTACTTTTTCATTTTTCAAATATATAACTTTGTGATTTAATTTATTATTGGATTTTGGATGAGTCTAAGAACAGAACTAGAACTGCTGTCTGTTAACAAATTTCAAAAATAAAAGATTTTCAGAAACTCATTGGTTCAGGAAGTTTAAACAGAGAGAAATAAACCAAATGAAGAGCATTTATCATTTTAGTTCCTGCAATACAGGAAGGAAAAGAGTGGAAAATATTGTCCTTTGGGAAACTTTGAACTGCTAACAATTAGAAAAACCCATGAGATGTTAGAAGGAAAATAACAAAATGATGATGCATACATGATGATAGATATAGCAAAGGCATTCTGGCATAAATCTCAAGTTTGCAGCTTCACCCCATATGAGAAGATACAGACCCATGTACAACAATTTCCTTTGTTGCACTTCTTGTTGAATATTTGGCAACCTGAAAATGGAGTATAAGTAACATATTACTTGTTTGTCAATAGATTGGGTTTTAGAAATTGAGTGGTGACTACATATCCAAAAACAATTAAATGTTTATGAAGAAATATCAAGACGGCAGCTCACAAATTCAAGCCATTGAAGCAGTGATTTTTATGATATATTTTTCATACATAATAAACAGTAAGTTACAGAATTGTCAATATTTAGAAGGCGAAATTCATTATAAACACTTAAAGACACAAAAGGAAGTTGTTGCTGCATAAAGAAAAGGCTGATTTTAGCTTTGTCATGCTAGTTTCTCTTTTAAGGTGGTTTCCTTATTGGTGCTAACAGGCCCTGGTCAGGCAAAACACATGAACAATGTGCATGGGTTGTGTAACACCCGTGAATTTCAAGCTTCCATTTTGATCAGTTTGTAACCCATGTCGTGTGAAATTATAAAGGTATTTCAGTATTAAATATCATCTTGTGTTCAAAGGTCAAAAATCGGGGGTTTCGTGCAAAAAAGGGCTCTACGCGACCTGCCGTGCGACCTTGGATTGCAGCCAAGGCCGCGTAGGCTACTGGACACTCGGGAAGGCCACGGTCGTAGCCGAGGGAATCACAGTGTGGCGTAGCTCGCTACCTTGACTACTTAAGCTCATTTTCAGCTAAGGTTTCTCGTTTCTTTCCTCAACACTCTTCTCTCTTCACAAACTTTGGTTGTTGGGAGCCTTTAAGAAGATTTCAAGGACAACAAGAGCATTGTAAAGCTTGGATTGAAGCCTAGGCTGAGGTATTGAAGACCTTCACCCCCAAGATGTTAATCTTTGCTTGATTTTCTAGGATTTCTCTTTAACCTAGCATTGTAAGTTCATCCTTCTTTATAAAACTATATACACGTCAAATCCTCTAGTCTTTGAGTCTTAATAGGTTATCCTTCATGAATCTTGCACTAAATCTTTGGCTATTCATTTACATGGTCCTATTTGAGATAATGATGATGTGAACATTTATGAAAGATTTTCTTGATTTTTGAGAGTATTTTGGGGTATAATGATCCAAGGGGTCTAAATGTTGGGGATGGCTTAACCTGAAAGGTTTGGATTGTTGAATCTCTTACTTTTAGATGATGTTTTCCACAATAAGAAGATAAAATATACTTTATGGTGTTGGCCCAACTTATAAATGTCATAACAGGTGATTTGGGCATTTAAATGGAGTTGGAAACTGTTAATTAAGTAACCTGTTTATGGTAATGTGTCCAAGCCCGATGGGCTTTAGGGTTAGGGTTTCCCGTGTAATTATGTCTATATATAGTGTCTCTCCTCTTGTAAATTTGAATTTTTCTGATTAATCATATAATAGAGAATTCTCTCTAATATCTCGGTCCTAGTTCTCTCTGATTACATGGTATCAGAGCCTAGGGTTTATCGTCGTTACTGTTCACCACCAGAGTTACTGTTCACATCAGAGTTACTGTTCAAGCCGGAACCCCCCGCCGTCGCCGGAACCCTAGTCCGCCGCCGTCACGCCTCCCTTTTCCGGCCTCCGACGACCTTCGACTTTTAGGGTTCTGGTCGGAATCCCCATCTGGTTTGTTTTCCTGCATCTTTTTGGTCTAATTTTGCTGTTATCTAGTCGCAACAGATCTGATCTCATCTATTTGGTCAAACTCTGTTAATTGCTATCTGTTTAGTCTGGTTTCCTTTGATAATTTGTCCCTTGGGTGTTCGTTTCTGATTTGATTAATATGACGAACACTGATGATAAAGCCTTCGGTAGTACTCATATTCCTGACATAATTGCAGCCAGTAGTAAAGTTACTGAAAACAAGCTTAATGGTAACAATTACTTCGAATGGATCAAAACGATTCGTTTGTATGTTCGAAGTATGGGAATGGCTTCCCATCTGGAATCTGACCCTCCCACTATGGGTAATCATTGACCTTTGGTTACAACAAGATGCCCATATGTTCTTGCAAATTATAAATTCTATTGAGCCCTCCGTTTCAACTTTAATCAGTCACTGTGAATATGTGAAAGAGCTAATAGAATATCTTGACTTCCTGTACTCCGGACAAAGTAATATTTCAAGGATTTACAGCGTATGTAAGTCATTCCATCATGGGGAACAACAGACCGATCACTTACCGCCTATGCCATGGAATTCAAGAAGATATATGAGGAAATGAACTCTCTTCTCCCATTGAGTACTGATGTGAAAACTATGCAGACTCAAAGGGAACAGATTGCTGTCATAAGCTTCCTGACTGGCTTACGCCCCGAATATGATTCCATCAGATCTCAGTTCTTAAATGAATCCGTGATACCTTCTCTTCAAGAGACTTTTGCTCGGGTTCTTCGACATGAAGATTTTCAGCCTACTCCACCATCTAATCATAATTCAGCTTTACTTAGCCGAGGTGGATACCATGGCGGTTTTCGAGGTGGCTATCGTGGAAGGGGTAGCACTAGAGGAGGCCACAATGATCAACCAACTGATTTTAACTCAGACGTAGAGTGCCACTACTGTCATGAACTTGGTCATACTAAGTTTAATTGCAAGAAACGGCAAGTTAGAAATCAGAGACTTTCCTTAGCACATGCTGCAAGATGACACAGCTATGCGACACAAAAAGAAACCTCATCTGGTAAATGAGCACCCCGCTGCTTTCACTGCTATGTTTGCTGAGACAGGTAACTCTGGCAAATGCTTTGTATCATCCTCCTCCAAATGGGTCATTGATTCAGGTGCCTCAGACCATATGACTGGTAATTCCCACCTTCTCCTAAATTTCAATAAACATGCATCCTCAGCTCAAGTCATAGTAGCTGATGGATCTGTCTCCCAAATAATTGGGTCTGGCACTGTTAAATTGTCCCCATCTGTCTCGTTATCCTCAATCCTGAGCCTACCAAAATTTTCTTTTAATTTACTGTCTGTGAGCAAAATTACTCGCACTTTGAATTGTAGTGTCTCATTCTTTCCTGATCATTGTGTCTTTCAGGATTTGCAGACGAAGAGGATTAATGGTAAAGGACGGGAGTCGGATGGCCTATACATATTTGAACCACCCAAACCATATTCCTTGGCAAGTTCCAGTTCATCATCTCCTTTTGAAGTTCATTGTCGACTAGGTCATCCTTCCTCACAGAGTCTCAAGAAGTTGTGTCCTGAATTTTCCCATTTACAGTATTTACAATGTGAGTCATATCAGTTTGCCAAACATCAACGTGTTCAATTAAGTCCTAGAGTCAATAAGCGGGCTGCGTCCCCATTTCAATTAGTACATTCTGATGTCTGGGCCCATGTCCTGTAACGTCTAAGTCTGGTTTTAAGTATTTTGTTACGTTTGTAGATGATTATTCTCGAACTACTTGGTTATACTTCATGAAAAACCGTTCAGAAGTGTTTAATCATTTACGTTCCTTTCATTCTGAAATCCAAACTCAGTTTCATACATCTATTAAAACCTTACGAAGTGACAATGCAAAAGAGTATGTATCCCAACAAATTCAATCCTATATGTTGCAAAATGGTATCCTTCATGAGTCCTCATGTGTTGATACTCCAGCACAAAATGGGGTAGACGAACGAAAAAATCGTCACCTCCTTGAGGTTGCCCGAGCACTTCTGTTTCAGATGTCCGTCCCTAAGTCTTTTTGGGCCGATGCGGTATCAACAACCTGTTTTCTTATCAATAGAATGCCGTCTGTTGTCCTGAATGGAGAAACTCCATTCTCTGTTTTGTTCCCAGGACAACGATTATTCCCTATTGAGCCAAAGATCTTCGGTGTTACATGCTTTGATCGTGACACACACTCCACTATCACCAAGCTTGATCCCAAATCTCTGAAATGCGTGTTCCTTGGGTACTCTCGTCTCCAAAAGGGTTACAGGTGCTTCTCTCCCAATCTTAACCGCTATATTGTATCTCGGGATGTTACCTTCCATGAGAACGTGCCGTTCTTTCCAATTTCCCCTCCGACTCCTTTAAATGAGAAAGATGATGACTTGTCAGTGTATACCATACCCACTCCTAAGTCCATTACTCAAGCCACCAGACCACCCATTGTTCATGTATATAATAGGCGCGAACGACCTCCTCCGTCTTCACCAATATCATTTGAGTCTGCAGATCCACCATCCCCATAAGAGTACCTCCTGAAGCTTCTATACCCACTCCAGTAAATGAGGATCCTGATCTTGACGGTCCTATTGCTCTCCGGAAAGGTAAATGTTCCTGCACGTATCCTATTGCTTCCTTTGTTTCTTATGATAAACTCTCCAGTTCATCTCGTTCTTTGGTCTCTACCCTTGATACTATACTTATTCCATCTACGGTTGGAGAAGCTTTGACTCATCCTGGATGGCAGGATGCTATGATTGATGAGCTCAATGCTCTTGATCATAACACCACATGGGATTTGGTAGAGTTACCTGGCAAAAGAGCAATTGGCTGTAAGTGGGTGTTTAATGTGAAAGTTAATCCTAATGGCTCGATAGCACGGTTAAAAGCTCGTTTGGTTGCAAAGGGGTATGCCCAAACTTATGGAGTGGATTATTATGAGACTTTCTCCTGTTGCAAAGATGGCGTCTATTCGGCTTTTCATCTCTCTAGCTGCTACCTATAATTGGCCTCTTCACCAATTAGATGTGAAAAACGCCTTCTTACATGGCGATCTGCTAGAGGAAGTCTACATGGAGCAACCCCCGGGTTTGTTGCTCAGGGGGAGTCTGGGAAGGTCTGTAAATTACGGAAGTTGTTATACGGCCTAAAGCAATCACCTCGTGCATGGTTCGGTCGGTTCAGTCTGTGGTAACTACATTTGGGTTACGAAGAAGCTCATATGACCACTCAGTGTTCTTTACTTCATCTGATTCTGTATCCTGCTAGTGGTTTATGTCGATGATATTGTGATTACRGGCAGTGATGAGAATGGAATTAAGAAGTTGAAAGAATTCCTCGCATCTCAATTTCAAACTAAGGACCTTGGTCCACTGAAATATTTCTTGGGTATTGAGGTATCTCGGAATCACAAAGGAATTTGCCTATCTCAACTAAAATACTGCCTTGACATACTACATGATTCTGGCATGATCGACACGAAACCATGTGAAGCTCCTACGGTTCCGAATGTAAAGCTGAAGTCTGATGATGGGGATCCTCTTGAGAACCCAGAGAAGTACAGGAGAATTGTGGGACGGCTGAATTATCTGACAATCACGCGTCCCGATATTGCCTTTCCGGTAAGTGTATTGAGTCAATTTATGTCGTCTCCAAGAACTACACATTGGGATGCAGTCTGCCATATTTTGAAATATCTGAAGGGAGCTCCTGGTTATGGCATCAAGTACCAAAACCATGGTCATTATGTCATAGAAGGGTTTACTGATACAGACTATGATGGAGACCCTACAACCAGACGATCAACAACAGGCTACTGTGTCTTTGTGGAAGGGAATCTGGTATCTTGGAAAAGCAAGAAGCAGAATGTTCTATSAAGATCAAGCGCTGAATCTGAATACCGTGCAATGGCTCAAACTACTTGTGAGTTGATATGGCTGCGTAATCTATTGGGAGAGATTGGATTTAATCAATCTAAACCGATGAATTTATGGTGTGACAATGAGGCAACTATCCATATTGCAAGCAATCTTGTATTTCACGAGAGAACTAAGCATATTGAAATAGATTGTCATTTCACTCGGGAAAAGCTTGAAGATGGATCTATTTCAACCTCTCATGTCAGAACTAGCAATCAATTAGCCGACGTTTTCACCCAAGCATTACCACGGAACCGAATCACATCTTTTTGTAACAAGCTGGGAATGATCAATATATATGCTCCAGCTTGAGGGGGAGTGTTAATTAAGTAACCTGTTTGGTAATGTGTCCAAGCCCGATGGGCTTTAGGGTTAGGGTTTCCCGTGTAATTATGTCTATATATAGTGTCTCTCCTCTTGTAAATTTGAATTTTTCTGATTAATCATATAATAGAGAATTCTCTCTAATATCTCGGTCCTAGTTCTCTCTGATTACAGAAACATTTATGAGAATACTAAGAATATCCAAGTTTGAGTTGTTAACATGCCTTGGACAATATGTGTTTATTTATATTCCCTCATATTCGGTCCACACTCTATGATGAAATTTTTTGATTCTATATGTTGTAAATTTGTCAAGCTTGGTGTTGTTTATGCTACATCCAATGAAGGTTAGAGATTTGTGTTATTAAGTAGGAAGGTAATGATCGTATCTTGCAATGCTTGTAAGTATACACTACATGGCAATTGGAATCCTTGAGGTGACACTTAGCTAGTGATTGGGTGGGCACTAAGATTCATTAAACCTTGAGGTGAGACTCGGTGGAGTGGACACTAGAAGTATTGGAGAGACTTGAGGTACGCCAAGATAGTGTGCACTAAAGTCAGAGAATCTGAGTTGTAGCCCGATAACATTGATATGTGGCAATACTTTTGTGTTTCCTCCACTCCCGATGGAAACAGGTCTCCCCCGTCATCAAAAGATGTTTTTATAAATTGACAAAGTTTGGACATTTTAGACAGATAAATTTTATTGTACAAATAATGCCGCCCGTGAGTAACGTTATTTTATCTACATCTTTCACTACTGTCATTCTATATTTGCGAGTCTAACTGTTTGAAGTCACTAGCTTTAAGCCTAACACTTTTTCTTATTGACATTTATATCTAGTCTGATTAGCGGTAGGTCTAGGGACGTTTGAGGTGTGATGCTTGGCGTCCTTTAGAAGCACCGGTTGAATGTCATTTTTCTTATTGAATGTCCTTTAGGGCAAACTTCTTTCCCCTAGTCAATCCATTGATCACTGTAACCATTTTTTAGTTACATATTTCAGGATAATGTGGAATATTGATGATTCCAACAGTGAGATCTAGAGATAAAAAAGATCTTGATGTGTTTTAGTTGGCAGGCATGGAAATCAATGTGTGTGGTTGTTGCACCTAATGTAGGTGATAACTCTCGTTTTGAGTGTTACTTACACATTGTTTTTGTGTGTTTTTATTTCCTTTATAGAATCTGTTTTCCCCTTTTTGTGTTCGTGTTTCTCCTTTTATTAAGTTATTTTCATTTGGAGTTGATGAGGATCAAAGTTTGTATTTCTTGCATGACTATTCTTCATATTTGGTTAAGTGTCCGAAAATGGACAGGTGAGAACACCAGATGATATAGTGTGCAGAAGAGCCGACCACTCTCAGCAACATGCCCAGCACCACTCAATACGGTTTCTAAGAGATGAAGAATAAAGACAAAATCCCATGCCTTGTGGTGGAGGATCCAATTTTAGCAAATAGAGTACCTTGCTTAAAAGTAGAATAGCGGTCTGGCTATTTTAGGAAGTCTACAACAAACCTGTTGAGCACAGCAGCCAGGCTGTTGTGCCTTCTGTCAAAGAAGACAACCCCTCTCAGTCGTGTTTTCCTCCCAGTCTCTTGCACTATAAATATCAGCACCCTACCAGCATTTGAGAGGCGAAGATGTTGGGTGACACTCCCTCTTCCACCACATTTCCATTAGTTAAATTTATTTTCTTTCATTTTCGTTCCTTGCACTTTCCTTTATGTTGTGTTAATCTTTGTTTCCTTCGTTGCAATTTCATTTCAAGTATTGTTCTTATTGTAGTTGCTAATTTCAAGTATGGTTTGTAATTGTTCTCCATTTTATTTATAGTAGACAGCATAGTAGGGTGGACAGTTTAATTTATTTCAGCATTTTAAATATCTCTCTTCCTTCTTCCTTTTTGTCTTTCCTTTACTTTTATCATCAGCTAATCACTTTAAGTTTATGGGTGTTAGCAACCTAAGAGACAACAGTTTACACTTGGGTGTAACCATAATTGTTAAATCTCTTTGGACATGGTTGCTCACAGTGGATACTTCCCACTGACGACTTTGATGAGTTAAAAGTCAAGTCTTAGACCCAGGATTGGGCTGGAGATAGTGACAATAGCTTGAGTGATGCAAAGGAACTTGGAGGAGTTTTTATGGCCACAGAGGAATCTGGCTTTTGCACAACGAGTAGTGATATACATTCGACTTCTATAGAGTATTCGTGTGACATAGGAATATGCACCATCTCTTATTACTGATTGAGCTTAAGGGCTTGGAAGGGTCTAAAATAATTACTGCTTACAAATCCTTGGGTTGGCATAATGGTCAATTTATGAGGACAGGGTACACTTACTGCTTAGGTTACATCTTGGAAGAGAGTGGCCTTTATAGGAACCGAGTGTGCATTATACTCGACTGAGTGTTCACACTATACTAGACAGAGTGACCACTAAACTCTATTGAATGCCCACTGTAAGTTCTTGGGTAAGACTTGCACCCGCACCTCTTATTTTTATCACTTATTGAAAAGTTGTGTTCTCCACCAATCTGCTCAAAAATATTTTCTTCCCTCTAATTGAAATTAGAGTGCTCTCTACTTAATATTCGGAAAAGTCCAATCCCTGTGGATAAGATATTGGTTTTTACCAGTCTATTACTTGAAAGGCGATCACAGGACTAGTATGCACTTGCACACTGTCCACTGTTTGCTAACCATTCTGATTACACTATTATCCACCATCAATTGGTCATAGCATAAAATGATTCAAATGGCACAGAACTGTGGAAAACATTTTCTATAAGCTAATTTGCATAACAATTATATTGGAGACAGAGGCACTTCAAATCAACTACTTAATTCCAGGAATCATGCCAAGCAAGGTGGTGCTGTACATGAGTAACATGACAAGTCACTTAAGCTTACCTGACAAAGTAATCTAGCAAACTGAGTCTGGGGAGATGAAAGCTTCTACCAAGAAAAAATAACTTGAATATCAACCATGAAAAATCTCAAGAGAAGATTTACTCACCAAAGACTACTTTTGCGACCCAAAAATTTGCACCACTTCTTGTAATTCTTAAAAAGTTTCTTCATAACTTCAGTAACCGCACAATCATCCAGCTACGAGAGAGTGATATGAAGAAATGTCATGAGCAATGAAGATGTAAAAAACACTTAGAACTGTGTAGGCAATATATTCTTATGCTACATCTAAAGTATAATACCTTAGGTTGCTGGTCAGGCTTTGGGAATTGGCGAATGTGAACATTTGCGAGCAACAAGATTAAGTGCTCTCTCTGATTCGAGACATTATCTTTCTATAAAAGTATAAATTAACACAAGTCACATAGTCATGATTATGTATCAGATATTCCTAATGAACCACCAAATGGCAGACCTGAAAACCAAACATAGCCTGTAGCCAATCCAGAATGTCCCCATCTTCTTTCTTCTTGTAGCCCTTGGGCCACGGAAGTCCCCTTGTATTACGTAGTGCAGAAACAGAAGCTTGAATCTGAGCAATTGAAGTATGAATATACCATGATAAAAGCTATGCTAGGGTCAAGAAATCTGGAACTAACCTCTGGATATCTCATTATTGCTTGATTTGAGCTGTCAGGGTCAAGTGGAAGAATATTATAAGGAACATACATCTCTGTTTTCTCAGCAACCTTAGTGTGAGCTTCCAAAATCTATGCATAGAAGCAGTAACGGTTAATTGAACTGCAAGGCTATGTATTCAAAATAATAATGTAAAGTTCATAAGGGAAGACAATGGGTCACCTCATCTGCCACCTCTACAGACTCTGTCAGATTAACAGCCTTTAAAACCTCGAACAGAATTGCAGCAGTCTGATAAGCTTTTGTAAGCCGAGTGCTGATACAAGCAGTAAATTCTACAATGAGAAAATACGTAACGGAAATTGCAAGAGACAACGCACAAAAAGAGATGATCACCGGTCAGCTTTATCAGCCTTTTGCCAGGCATGAATGTACTTCCCGAAGTAATGTCGATAAAAACTCTGCATTTCACGAGCATCACTCTTTGTTCGTCCTGCAAATGTTGCTTTGTCTTCCTGAAAATATTAGAAACACGTTAGATCTTGTTAAGATTTAGGACCAGTTAAGTGAACCCAGTATAAAGGGCAATAGTTTTATGCAAGTAGCTTAAGGGACAGTCTAGTGCTGTGAAGTCAAGTAAGCCTGAATGAAGTTAAGCTCCTCCTCTTGAATTCAGCCTTTAAGGCGAATTGATGTTAGCCATACTACTAGAATCCTGATAACGCCTCCCATACTTGTGGTAGTAATAGCATCTTCTTTAGCAGTAGTATACTCCAATGATTTAGGCAGGATTAAGGTTATTTGATTCTGATTTTTATTTCCTTTTATTCTCTGAAGTACACAACATAAACACGGTTATCCTCTCTTAATGAAGTACATAAAGACAACTTATTCACTTACAATCAAAGCCTACTACGCTTTGATAATCAAAGCCCTTGTTATTGTCCAACAGAGCAACGAACCAAACAGGAAAGCCTATTATTGTTCATGATGCAATTTGACAGAGGTTCAAGACCCAAAACCCTTGCTACGAGTCACTTGACTTGGAAGCCAAGGGTAGTGCAACTGAAGTTTCAAAAGGGTTGTGATGAGGCTTGGCGGTGGAGGTAGCTAAAAGTCAACTGGTTACACTAGAGGGCTGGGCCCGGAATGAAACCGAGACCGGCTGCAACCGGTTAAGGCCCGGTCGGGTAAGCCTAGTCCTAAAAAATATTGAAAACCGGTCAAGGGCCGGTCCTTTTGGACCGGTTATCAGCCCTGTCAATGCAAAAGATTTTATTTGTAACAAGTTGGGCATGATCAACATATTTGTTCCAAATAGAGGAGTGTTAGATATAGTATTGTACTGATCCACTTTCTTGTTTATAGAATTAGGGTTCCTTTATTTAGTTCATCAGTTTCTATAAATCTTGCTGTTACCTTCCTCTTAAATGAATACAAAGTAAACAAGATATGATGTTAACCTATTTAAAGATTTTCAAAATACAACTAGTTAAAAATCTAGATTCAATACTGGATTATGTGAATTAAATCTTTATATGCATTCTATTTTATTAAATTTGCAAATGTGCAAGATTTGAAGAACTTTGATTTATTGGCATGGTGGCAACAAAAAGAACCGTAATTTCCGGTTTTGGCCACCATGGCATGTGATTTACTAGTGATCCAAGCTAGTACTATAGCTTCAGAGACTGCTTTTTCTGTGAGTGGCATGATTATCTCGCTTTAGAGAACAAGACTTAGCCCGGAGTTGGTGGAATCTTGCGTGTGCTTGAAAGATAACATAGATGCAGGGCCGGCCCAAAGCTTTTTGATGCCCGGAAACGTTAAAACATGTCTCAACCAGAAAAAAACGCAAATATATTTTAGGGTTTGTAAAACTGTTCAAATGGTGTTAGTCCATATCCAATCATTTGCACAATTTCTTCCAACAAAATGGTATAAAACTTTGTATCATAGTATATATGTGTGTGTGTGTCATTTTTTATGTTTTATTATTTATACATATATATCATATATGAACTATATAAATATAATTTGTAATATAATATTAATAAATATTATAACTAAAATAGCATTTGTAATCAAATAAATTAAAATTATATAGACATCAAACTTGCATAAATATTAAATACCAAATTGGTTGTACATTTCACCCGGTTGGTGTAGAATTGTAGTGAAATTGTTTGAAAATTGATATAAAAATGGGATTTTGGTGATGATGAGATGCCCTTTACCGAGCAACAAATCCACACCCAATTTCTTGAATAAACATGTTTGACGAAATTATACACATAACAAAAATAATAAGTTTTCAAGTATTATTATAGGGTCTTCTTAAAATAATAAGTTATACAAATATTAGTTGTGCTATTAATTTTATTTCAAATAAATATTTATTATTGAGAAAGCACGACAAAAATGAACTTAAAAATTAATTGGAAGTGAAAAAGAGAAAATGGGGAATAGGAAGCGAAGTATTAAAAGCTAGATCTAGATAAATATAAACAAAATAATCTCTAGCTCATTAGTTAAGCCTCCTGATAATGTTAGATGACCTGGGTTCAAATCTTTCTAGTAATAATTTCATTTAATTTTTAATGACTATACAACTAGTATTAGGCTTGGGATGCCCTGGGCCGCCGCCCGGGCTGCCTACCCATAGGGCCGGCCCTGCCTGGATGGCATTGAAAGAACTCAACACCAAACAGCAAAAGAGCTGGAGATGAGCGACAAGGAAGAAGTTATCGAACTAATTGACAGCACAACCAAAACCTATCATCGCCGCCAACAATCAATGATGAAGATAATTTTAGTTATCGATGAAGATTGAAGCTTGAAGAGTTGGAAGTCTTGAAGTGAAAGTGTAATAAGATGAAAAGTGAAGGCAAAGACAAACCCTTCCATTGTCTCGATAATAGATATGAAAGTCGAAATGTAAACAAAATTATAAAATTGCAAAAAAGACGAAAACGACATAAAATTTTATATAATTTTAATAAAATCGTATTTTAAATGTAGAATTTGGGAAAAGTGGAATTTTTATAAAAGAATGCAATTTAAAATAATAAAACCAATGTGGCGGTTAAGAGAGCGGTTACGAGGCACCGGTTGTGTAATCGGTTAAACTGGGCCTTACCAATTAGGGCTTTTTAGACAAGAACGGGACCAGAACCAGAAAGTAAAAAACAATTGAACTTTACATGAATGCCACTCGCAAAAAGGGATATATGGTGGCCGGTTGTTATTATGGTTTTCTTATTACTCCCTCCGTACCAAAATAAATGTCCACAATAAAAAAGGCACACACTTTTAGAAATGTGTCATTATTACACTTTTTAATTAACTAGATGACAATTTTACCGTTAATAATAGAGGGAGTAATATTTCTCCATCTCATAGCTAAGGGTAGAATTAGAATGTAGACACTTCTAAAAGTGGACACTTATTTTGAGACAAAATAAATATAAATGCGGACACTTATTCAGGGACAAAGCGAAATAATCAATAATAAATCTATGATCCATATATAGGGACTGAGAGGGAATGCACAAATTATGGATGAAATGAATAGTGATGGAAAAGAAACCAATACATACCTTCTCTAGGCGTTGAAGTAGGAGAGTCTTGAATTGGCGAACACCACGTCCACTTGATGTTGGATCTAGTTTGTGGGCTTTCTCGAAGGCATAAAACCGACCTGCGTTTGTACACAATAAAGTTTTTCTGCTGCTGTAACGAAGTATGCAAAGCTAACAATTGCATAATAAAGAAATTGATAAGCAGTATTCATGTATCCTACTAAAAAAGAAAACAGATTAGCAATTAGGCAAACCAAAAGGTATACTTGTGTGATATTAGCATGTCTCCATAAATTCCATTTCTAATGTAAAATGAGTTATATAAATCAGATTCAGTCGTTCTTGAAAAGAGTGACCACTCATGTAATACAGACCCTCCAACATCATCCATTGACCATTATAGAAGGCAACATAAGTTCCTGGAAACCTATCAGCCTCAACATTTTCAAGTGAAAAGAAGATAAACGATCGAGAATGTCAAATCACGTTTATACAATTAACTTCGGTTTGCATAAAATTTATCAACTCAATACACCCTTGGTCCCATACACATAGCACTAGTTACAGAAACACTTTTCCTCCTTTCAGTTTGACTGCAAGAATATCATTGTGGATCTTCAAAATGGGTATCAAAGTAGGTTTCATCTTCCTATCTATAGCATTACATCTTCTAAGGATTATAATGCTTCCATGTTTTCATTTTCTTAGGACAATCTCTACGGATATATGTAAAGAAATCATATATGTAAAAAAAATCAAATCGTCGAAGTCATGATTTTCTTTGATCCATTAAGAACCTGATCTAGTTTCTCTCTTCTCTTCGATGCTTGTCGTTCTCCAAGACCCTTGAATCTTCACTCTTGTAAATAAGTGAGTGTAATTACTTCCATCTTTCATTTATACCTATAATATTATGGACATTCTTGATAGCTTCATTTACTGTTTTGTTAGAACTATATACAGACATATCATTTTCCGAGTTTTTCTAACTTCTGTACAATTTTACAGTTGTTGCAATATGTGGACTTCTTCAATTCAAGACGACATACACTTCCAAATCCAAATGGGAAATTACATATTACCAATAGAATCAGTCCTCTACTCAACATTTTATATATAAAACCTCACATTAAATGATGTCATATCTGCTTCTGCTTGCAACAAAATTGCTAACTATATACATGGCTTCTCTTACTGTTTTCTTAGCCCAAATGGGAGAATCACTGTCCAAAAATCTGCATATATCACCACAGGATTTGGTGATATAAGTTGTAACCCACTTGACATGTTGCTTGTTTCAAAATTTAATATTCAAATAATTATAATGCGTCTTCTGTGCTCATTTTCCACCACTTTGTTCTTGGGTTTCTGGCCTCTTTTCATGCTACTAACACCATAATCCCATACCATAAGGTTTAGCTCCCGATAGAAGGTAATATTCTAGAGTTTCAAGCTTTCCAGATGGTTTCATGAAATTGGCTAATTCATACTGCACCTTGTTTTCCAATAGTCTCTCTCCACTATTTATTGCAACCATTGGACTATTTTGAATCAACACATCTGGAAGACCAAACATCATAATGGAAGAAAGAAACCAAACCAAAAGAGCCCAATATATACCACCTGGGGGTGGGGTCTTGGGGGGTGAGGTTGTTGGAAATTTGTAGGTTGGAAGTTAACCTTCCATCCCACATTGGTAGAGAGTTTATTTATAGAGAAGCTTATAAGGCTTTCTCTAGTAGTGGGCTTTGAACATGTTAGTGGACTC